GAGACTAGGCATACCAGTTCTCTAATTTCTTTGCACAACAGGGAATGTGAATCCATACTCTTCATACAGTGGCCCTTCTTGTATATTAATAAACATTCTTTCTAAGCCTGAAACAAAAAACTAGACTACTGGCCTCAATTTCTAAAATGCAAAATTACTATAAAATGGTTTTTGCCTAAGATTTAAAGCTATTGAGGCAAATAGGAAATTACTTAACATTTCTCATGAAGAACTATTACGTGCATTTTTAGGTCTTCCAAAGTCAGGTCACATTTATCTTGTTAGTCTCTCAATATTTTAAACATCTTTAAAATAGGTCATTCCCCTAGTTTAAGTTGTCTAGCATTAAAAATATCCCTTTTGAGTAGAAAATTTATTTTATATTGCAAGGAATTTTTATTTGAATGAATAAGTGAAAAGGAGAACTTATTTAAGAAGCTTATTTGTTTGAAATATTTATCTTGATGCACAATTTATTATTATGCGCTTATTGGCCTTGGAGGAGGGTTCTCTACCTTGTCATAATAAATGTGAATAAAAACACCCAGAGCCTCTGTGTGTGTGTGTGTGTACACACACATATATATAGTGTATGTATATACATATGTATATAGCTATAAACCCATATATGTATGGATACACACATGTGAAATCCCTTTTAAATTGTTAAAATACTTTTGAAATGTTCTAAATTGATATCTTTTGGAAACTGATGCTTATTTTATTTCTAAATCTATTGACATTTTTATTTATTCAGTTCTTGACTTCTTTGACTCTTCAGCATCATCTTAGCTATCTGACATTTTTTAACCTCATGGCTTCCTGGGCATCATACTACCATTTCTCCACCTCTACCTTTCTTAATGACTCAGATTGCCAAACAATTAAAATCTAATTCACTTTCTCTGACATTTGAATATAGATTACCTATCACGATCTTACTCCTCTTTTACCAGTTTTACTCCCTATTACTCCTCTATCCCATATGCCTATTCTGTAACCAAAATGAAATACTCATATGTGCCTTAAATTTCCTATTTCTACCACTCTGGTTAAGAAAGTTACTGAGCTTAGTAATATTCTTTTCTCTCATATCAATCTGATATCCTACCTGTCATTTAAAGCCCAGATTACAATTGATGGCCTTGAAGCCTTTGATCATAAGTAGAATTATCCTCTCTGTCCTCTGAACTCCTAAATATTCTACTATTTGTTACATTTTTTCTTGTTTTATAGATATGAGTTTGGCTCTTACTTTAGTTTTATGACTAGACTGCAAGTTCCTTGAAAGGTAAGAACATTTACTATGTATTCCTCATATTGTCACTCAGAATATCTTGAATATAACAGCTAGTCAATAAAAATTTAGTGAGTAAATGAGTTGTTACATTAGTACAAAATTTAACAAAAGTTAAATTATTTATGTCTATGCGGAAAGGAGAGAAACAACAGCAGCATTCAGAGGATATTTAATATCCTTCTAATTATGATAAGCATAAATTTTGTTATATTGAAGCCTAGCCCACCCAAGGTCCTCATTGAAGTCACTAAATCAATTTTAAAATCTATGTTGTGCTCCATGATGGACCAATTTTAGCTCTAGCTAATAATGTATAAAAGTAAAAAAAAATTTTTTATGATATGTAATTCTGAAGAAAGAATTACCCAGTGATCCATTATTGTAGTATACAAGGTACAAAAATACTCAATTGTTTATCCAAATAATCCTCTCCATCTACCTCCCAGTTTATCCCAGCACACTCTTTTCTCTTTCCTCATTTGTTGGCTTATAATATTAACATCTTAAAAAGAAAAACTTTTAATGCTTGAAGTAAATTAATCCACTGCTTATTTTTGTGCATGGCTTGAATTTACTTGTAAGATGCACAGTTCTGATAATATTTATAAATATGGGGAAATAAGTTTGTTTTCTAGGTTGCCTCTATAAAGCTATGGCAAAAACAAAACAAAAACAAAAACAAAAGACTGATTTAATTTCATTTGACTCCTTATGATAGTTCCATGAGAAAATGAACTAATATATTTGAATGCCCCCTTGCTTATGGTGAACCAAAGTCAAAGAGATTAACTTTATTTTCAGTTTCTATCCAATTCTGTTTTGCTCATATAAACCCACCACTCACATATTTACATTTTCTGACTGTTTAAATGATTTGATAAATCAAGTAAAAAAAAACCTCAAAGCAGACCTTCAGTAATAAAAGCAAAACTCAGAGAAAATAAAAGAAAATATAGAAACCTACATGAGCACAACAATTAGTTTCACTTGAAGTATTACTATAGGAATGACATGCAATTAATCAGAATGCCTCAAAAGCTGAAACCTGTTGATGTAGTAGATCTGAAAAGGTTTGCATTCTTTAAAGGACAAACAATAATTAATACGTGATCTTAAATTAATTTGCCTGTGACAAACACTTGACATTTTAATTAGTAATTTCATGTAATATATAAAACAAAAAACATCCCCAAACTATCTTTACTGTTAAATATTTCTGTCAACATTATACATGGGTTTGCCCAATTTTTCTTTCTTCAGACTGCACTATATTCATTAAAAGGAAAATTTGCCTCTTCACCATCATGTAAAATGAACCAAGATTGTATAGTCTCCATTAACAATTCTGGTTTATGGAAGGGAATGATGTGTCAGCTTGGCAATGAGATGTGACTACTCCAATATTAGGGAACTGTATGAGACACAGAGTTTGTGTTTTACCCATAGTCAGTACACTTTATTACACATTTAAAAATAGCATAAATCTGTAGTAATTTTGTGATCCTGTAACTTAGCTTTATCATAGTGTAAAAGATCTTGGTTTAAAGACCTGCTCCTTTACTTACCTTATATATTACAATGAAGGTTAAGTTAGGGTGATTGCAAAGTTAGGGTGGTTATAGCCATTACATTATACAAGGTAAAACATATCTATCTATCTATCTATCTATCTATCTATCTATCTATCTATCTATGAATTAATCACTTTAAGAATTTATTGAAGGCATGTAGAATCTTGGAATTGAAAAACTGGAAATTGAAAAAAACAACTTTAAAGGTTATCTTTCATATGTAGAGTTTACCAAAAAAAATCTCTGAATTCAAAAAAGGGATAGTAAATATTTTCTTTGGCCAAACACTGCATTGTCCACTTTTCAATGGATTCTTTTAGTATCTGTAGATAAGTCCCTATTATACTGATGTTGTAAGTTGGAAAGAAAAGTGTGGCTTCACATATTATGAAACAAAAATGAACTTTGGGATAACTGGAAAAATGTTTTCTATTTCATATTACAATAAAGTAGCAAATATTTAAAAAGCAAAATGAAACATTGCTGAACAGAAATATTTTGCTAATTGGAAAGTATAAATTAATCATGAAAGAAAACTTATACCATTTCATGTCATGCACATTTTTCTATTAAGATAATCATATCTGCAGGTAGTAAAAGACATGCATTTTTATTTTATGATACATTAACACAATAACATGAAAATTTATAGCAAGCATTTATTAATTTTACAACTTCCCTATTTCATTCAATGTCCAAGTGATTTTTATTAATTTTTTCTGCTTTATATTTTAAACAAATTTCATGTTAAATCTTATGTTTCTTGCACTGTTGTAATCAATACATTTCTATATTTTGAAAATGATTACTGTCAGATTGATGACCTCTTTTAATATAGTTTAGACAACCACAAGCATCATTTCATATATTTAATGGTTTTTTCATCACATGAAAAATCAACAATTCAGTCTTCCATAAGCTTTGTATAAATAATGCCACATAGCTGTATACTAGAAACATTTACATGTGTTGATATCATGTAAAAAAACATCCAAGATGTCTGACTGAATTTTTGGTATTTCATTGACCTCTTTTGTCAACGGATAGACAGAGTCTTTAGGTGTTATTTAGCTTAATCAAATATTATATTATATTCATTATTCATAATTCTTCATTTTATTATTTACTTAAAAATGAACAATTTACTCTGATAATAGCAGCATCATTTTTAATGGATGCTGAAGAATTATCTTACCTTTCTCTAAGTCAACAACAATTTTTAAATGATGCTTACATAAAAATTCTGCAAAAAATATTAAAAACTGTAGACATATAATGCCATAAACTCTAGCTGATTTAATCAATTCATTCAAACAACAATTAAATGAAAGGGGAAAAATCAGTCAAATGGTCTCTGTGTAACTCAATTGACTGGTCAATAAAATAAAAATGGTTGATCCAGTGGCCCTCTGTAGACCAAGAGAAATATAATTTTATTTTCACACACACTTTTCTAAATGAAATAATTAAATGATTCCCTCAGATCCTATGAACTCTGAAGTTGCTTTCATGTGTAAATTATAAGTTCTATGATTCAAACTATTTAAATTCAAGAGGAATGTCAAATTATCACTGGTTGATTAAGTCTTATTAACCTTTAAATATGGTTTTTGAATGACAAGACAGGAACTAATAAAATTGCAGAGAGTAAAATTCATCAGGGAAATAGTGTTAAGTCTAGGACTTATTAATTTAACAAAGCAAACAGAAGGAAATTGATCATGATCTTTCAAAGGTATAAATAAATTTTAGTAGAAAAAATTTTAAGTTAATTTCATTAACTAAAGTTCTGCCTATGAATGTAAGGGATGACCATGTTTTACTTAATAGTAGCTATTTCATAATGACTTTAGATAAGGAGATACCAGAACATATGCAAAGAAATCAAGGGGAAACCAGAACAGGAAGAGAAATATCAACAACAACAACAAAAGAACAAAAATAAAACATGCTTTCAAATCTACACACAGTACAGACTCTCTTTTTACAAAAAATAAAATTAAAATAAATATACAAACAACACACCAAGAAAACAGGAAGAATAAGTCCTTGGAGAAGGACAATTAGACATGCAGAGAAATGAGGATCTGTGTTTTGATAGGAACGTAACAGCGTGGGGCCTAGTTTACCTTCACTGTCTGACATGGCATGTTGGAAGTCATCCATGATGAATGCTATATCCCGATCATAGCCTCGAGTCCTTGACTCTTCTCTCATATGCTGCTGAACCTCAGGCAATGAATGACTTGATCCAAACTGATCTCTGGTATCAGCAGATATTGGTGGCAGTGGTCCAGCTGCAGCTCTTGCCATTCCCATTGGCTGGCCAACAGGGCTCAAAGGACTTTCTTCTTCTGAGTTCTGAGCAACAATTGGTATTCTTCCTCTGCTCTGGCTAATAGGCAGACTTGTTGGTTTAGTTCTGCCAGAGGGTGTCACATGACTAAAAGAAACATCTAATGCTTCAGCCTCTTGAGCCTTCAGCCTTAAAGAAGAGCTTGATGAATCTCTCTTTATGGATAAATCAAGTCCATAGACAGAGGAGGGTCGAGAAGAAGGCCTCGATCTGGTGCCACTACTATAAGGCTTGTCTGCCTCATCCTGTAATGCTGATCGGATTGAGGAACCTAAGGTACCCAAGCCTGTTCCAAGGGATGAAGTGAGGGATGATCCTATGAATTTTTGTTGGTCTGTGATATTTTTCCTAAGGCCAAAAGTAATATCATCCTGAAGAAGTCTTGCCCTGGATGAAATGCTTCCAACTGGTGGAGAGCTAGAAGTCATATAACTTGAATAATCAGGTTCAAGGTCTCTGCTTTCTTGAATTGGTGAAAATTTTGATTTTGGGGTCAATAAGTGATTTTTTATGCTTTGCCTGCTTTTGATAAAGGATTGCTGCTGGAAGTTGTTTTGCTGCCTGTTTTTCAAGTGTCAGTCTACTAATGCTATATTTCTCTGATTTGGGGAAATGCCTATAGCTAGTATCTGCATGGTAATAATGGGAAAGACCAGCAAGATGGTCTAAACTTTCAGCACCACGACGGAATTCCTGCTTGATTTGATGTTTCAGAAGTTTCAGCTCATAGGGATCATCCATTGGGTCTTCATCTGCTTTTACATAGGAATGCAGTCTAGAAGAAGTCTGTAAAGGTGCCAGAAAATCTGTAACTTCTTGAGTTCTGCGTGCCTCTGTTGTTTGAAGGAGGCGGTCAGTTTTTGTCAGATCCTTATCATGAAGGCTAAATGCAGTGCTCAGGGCTGCTGTACCCTTAGTAAGTTCACCAATATCATCAATTAAGAGATAATTCCGTGGTGTGTGATGTTCTATATCTGCATAGAAAGAATCTGCTGATATGCTTGAAATTGGACTGCCTGCTATGCTGTTTCTTTCCTCTAAACCTATTCTTAAGTCTAAACTATTATACTTACTACCAAGGTGGGAAACCGCATAAGTATTCTCAGTGGAAACCGGTGCTATCATCAGGGGTTGGTTTCGAATGACCTCATAATTAGAGGTTATTTTAGGTTCCAAATACAATGTAGATTGCCGTGGCTTTTGCTGTATCACCATCATCTGGGATGGGAGTTGATATGAAGGCTGTGGAGTCGGTGGAGGCTGTGTTTGTGGTGTGAAGGACATTGTCGCCACAGTTTGGAAGGTGGGTTGGGTCTGATATGGGGAAACCTGCTGATGGTATAAAGGCTGCTGTTGGTAAGGAGACTGTTGGGTATACTGAGTTGGTGCTTGTGTAGGAAGAGCAGGAGAGGTGAACTGATACTGGGTGTAAGGACTTGTTGGTGGAACTAACTGAGATTCTGGCTGTGTTTGGGGGGGCATAAATTGGTTGAATTCAGTTTGGGGTGCAGTTCTTGGTCTTTCCAAACCATGCTGACTTTCTATTCGGGTTGGCCTAGTGCTACTTACTTCACTATCAGACATATAATCACGGTCCTCAGCTACTCCCTGGAGGTAGGCTCTCTCTCTCTTTTCTCTTTCCTTTAAAAGCGCTTCTTTTCTTCTGTTGATTCCCATTTCCAAGTACCGTAACTTTGCGTCAATCTCTTTTTCTTCCTCATCCAATTCAGCTTGCTTCTTCCTGAGCTTTGCTGATTCCCTTTCCACAAGGTCAAGTTCTCTATCTATATCCTGGAGGATTTTGGCTCTTGCCATTGTATTAGTTCTGCAGATTCTTCTTCGCGAAACGGAACCCATGGTGCTATATGCTGATGGGGTCCCTGAGGAAGTTTCTTCAGGAGGTGGATTTGGTAATGTCCTCTTTACTTTCTTCTGGGTGCCGGAAGCTGTCATGGTCTGAGAACCTTTGGTCTACAATTGAAAAGAAATGGGGAATTGATCAGAAAACTGAAGAAAAAATTCATAACTGGCATTTAATAAAAAATTTCCTTTCATTTATTTGACAACTATGGCTACAATTATAAAATTCTTCATTCTTTATCTGGTTTCCTCATTCTTCTTCATTTATCTTAATTTTCATTAAATGTAACTGATTGAAGCATAATACTCCTTTTTATATCTTTGAGTGTAGATATGTACCATTATATTATCTACAAGATAAAAATGTTACCATGTGAAGTTTATGTAGGTTTCATTTTTAAAAGGTGATATTTGTAATAACATTTAAATTGAAGCCATATGTATGTATTTGTCTGAAAAATTCAAGATGTTAAATATGTTTGTTAGCCGTTCTAAAATAAACTATATTTGAGTGAAAATGCAAGTTTTTTCACTCAAAATACGTGTGAATTTGAAATGGTGAAAATAAATTTAGAATGCTGCATTTACTTTGAGCTCTCCTAGTAATAAGATCCTGCTAAATGAATAGTTCAAAACATTGAAAACATGTGATAAGAAATTCCTTTATGAGAAATAAGTATAATATTAGCATCTCATATTTATTTGCCAATCTAGGATTTCAAAATGCTTTTTAATAATGTCATTTAATCTTCAGGACAACCCTCAGAGGAAGACAATATAGTAGTTATTATCCCCATTTTATAGATGAAGCATGTCTTGGAGATGGTAAATGATTTACCCAAGACCATATAATCACTAAGTGGAAGCAAACCTAGTAAGGAGCAGCTAGGTGGCACAATGGATAGAGCAGTGGGCTTGGAATCAGGAAAACTAATCTGCCTAAGTTCAAATCTTGCCTCAGATACTTGCTAGCTGTGTGACTGAGAATAAGTCACTCAACCCTGTTTTGCTTCTAGTTTCCTCATCTATAAAATGAGCTAGAGAAAGAAAAGGAAAACCACTCCAGCAACTTTGCCAAGAAAACCCCAAATGTGATCATGAAAATTTAGAGATGACTGAACAATAGTTGTCAGAGCCTGAGGTCTGAGTCCCTAACCAGTGCTCTGCCACCTTGTTTTCCCATCTGATAAATAAATGGTCAGCTCTAATGTTTATGAAGTTTTGCTTGGGAAGATATAAATATCCTAGTGGTTTTTATATTTGTACAGTGCTGCCACTATAAGAAACTCGAGTTGCCATATGTAAAACTTTTAATTAGGAATATTTTAAAATAGCAATATCAATTATTACTGAAATAAGGAAAGGAAGAGGAAGACTAAACAATAAGGAAGAGAGTGAAGGGAGCTGGAAGAATAACTAATTATAAACTGCAATATATGGTGATGAATTCATATGTGAAACAAATGACCCTTAGACTAAATTCTACTTTCCAAAATTACTTAAGCCAACATTCAATAACAGTGACTCAGCTATACATACTTGCAATTGAAAGAGTGAAGAGATATGTCACCTGTAATTGTTAAAGTATTATAAACAAGAGAGAGTGCTCAGTCTATGGCAATGAGGAATTTTCTAATGAAAGGAAAATCAGGAAAGGCCAAATCATAAAAATGGCTGTACAAGCTGGAAATATATTTACAGATCTATTAAGACAAATTCATAAATAATACACCTGAAATAATCCATACATTACTTAAGGGTTAAAGACATATTTGTGACATATCCCTTACTTGTTTCCCTCTCTTTCTCTAATAAACCAACTGACTGAACACTCACTATATGCAATGGGATCACACTAGGCCTCATAAGGGACATAATGATAAAAGAACATAGTCTCTGCCCTTTAGAGCCATTTGTATTTGTAATCAAGTAATTATTACGGAGGATTAAGTGAGAGATGTTACTTACAAGCGCACCTAACACAGTTCCTATGGCTATTAGTCTGATAGAATATCAGATGTCAACAAGCATTTACTAAGCACCTACCATATGCCAGGTACTGTACTAAACACTGGGGATGCAAAGAATGGTTAAAAACAAAAACAGTCCCTGCCTTTAAGGAGTTCATAATCTAATTAGTGTTGCACAATATTAATATGTAACCATCCCCTTCCCCAAACACAGACACATATATACACTCACAACAGAAATAAATGCTAATCATAGTGAAGTTGTTTGTGAGTATTTGTATTTAAGAAATGGATCATGCTGATCCAAACAATTGGAGAGCAATTTGGAACTATGCCCAAAGGGCCATAAAAATGTGCATCCCCTTAGACCCAGCAAGAGTACCTCTAGGGTTGTATCCCAAAGAGATCATACAAATGGGAAAAGGACCCATATGTACACAAATATTTATAGTAGTTCTTTTTGTGGTGGCAAAGAATTGGAAATTAAGGAGATGCCCATCAATTGAGGAATGTATATGAATGTAATGGAATACTATTGTGCTATAAGAAATGATGAGTAGAAGTACTTCAGAAAAACCTGTAACGACTTGTGTTGAGTGAAGTAGGCAAAACCAGGAGAACACTGTACCCAGTAACAACCACATTATGTGATGACTAACTTTAATAGACTTAGCTCTTCTCAGCAATGCAAAGATCTAAGACATTTCCAAAAGACTCATGATGGAAAATGCTATCCACATCCAGAGAAAGAACTATGGAATCTGAATGCAGATTGAAGCATACTATTTTCTTCTGTTTCATTTTGTTTCTTCTTTCTTGTGGTTCATCCAATTGGTTCTAATTCTTCTTTACAACATGACCAATATGAAAATATGTTTAATAAGAATGTATATGTAGAGCCTATATCAGATTGCATGCCATCTTGGGGGGGGAGTGGGAAGGGAGAGAATATTTAAAACTCAAAAGATAATGGAAGTGAATGTTGAAAACTAAAAGGAAATAAATTAAAAAAAAAGAAATAGATTATGAGTCATTTGAGGATTCTGGATTTTAATTGCCATTTAGAAGAATACATTGAACAGTGGGAGGAAGAAACCTATTCCAAAGAAATGGAGTACTATATTTAAAGAGAAGGGAAAATCAAATATAATCCATAGAAAAACCCTTGAAAATGGTATCATATTATAACTCTCAATTTTTCCTTTTTTCTTGTTTCAGAGTAAAGAAAGATTACTCAAATCCTCAAAGACTGGTCAACTTAAGCTCAGTAACTTGGGAAACTGCTAACAGAAGTCATCAGACAATAAACTACAATGATCATAGAGATGGACAGTGAAAGGCAGACAGTAGAAATCAATGTGGTTTTGTAAATAGAAAATCATGACAGCCCAATTTAATTTCCTGCAATGATAATGCAAAAGGCCATGCAGATAAGGAGAAAGTAATAGATGTAATCTAGCTGGCCTTTAGCAAGCCTTTTTATTCTGCCCTGTGTGACATTCCCATCAACAAGTTAAGAAGATATGGTCTCAGTCACATAAATGTTAAGTGGTTGGGGAATTCCCTAAGGGATTTCATTAAAAAAAAAAAAAGAACAGATTGTTATTCATGGTTCAGC